TAATACAAATTTAATTTGATTATTTAGGATATTTTAACGATAAAAAATTAGATACACATAATCCAATTATGAAAGTTTATAATCCAAAATAAATTAAGCGGATATGAATTTTATCTAATTCAATTTATTAATGATTTGAATCTGAATATTATATATATATATATATCATAATTTAAACTTGATTTATTGTATTTTAATTAAAATTATTTTTTCTTAAAAATAGAATTATAATGTATTTTAATTTTTTATAAAAACAAAAATGAAATGGATTGAATATAATTATTATATATTAAGAGTAAATCAATCTCTAATGTAATATTTATGGTAAATCATATATAATTATATTATACTTTTAAAATCTAAAATTATTTATTAGTTTATTTTTTGAGAATTTCTTATTTTGGTTTTGATTATTTTTTCTAAAATATATAAAATAATAATATATAATAATTTTACAATTTGTATTCAGATTATTGTATTGGATATTGAATTTTATTCAGATTTGAATATATTAGTAATAAGCACATATTCTATATATAAGATTTTGAATTGAATTCGGATATAATATATCATTGTCAAATTCGGATCCAGATTTATAATGATCCGGCCCAAATCTGACTCACTGATAGTCCTACTTTATAATTTATAAAAATAGAATTGATTAAATTTATTATTTTTATAATTAAATTTTTGAAAGAAAATTTTGACAAATCAGACATCTAAAAATTTTATTTAACCAATTTAATTTAACAAATTCATTACCTCTTAATTAACTATAGTTGCTACACATTACATAGCAAATATATTTATACATTATAATTGAGTTTGAATTATACTAATAGAATTTACTCTCTAAAAAGGAAGAATTTTTTATTAGAAAAGTATAAATATAAAAAATAAAAAAAATATACAATCAAATAGTAAAGAAAAACTATAATATATATATATATCATTTTTAATTCTATATGTACATAAATTATAAGTGTAGTTTGATTTATATAGTTTATTTAAATATTAAATATCAAATTATATTATATTTTTTAAACATTATTTATAAATCAAACAAAACTACGGTTTAAATAATTTGATTTAATTTAATTTATTAAATATCCCTCATTATAATTTTTGTTATGATTACCGTCACAGTTGCGTGCTTCCGGTCGATGCATTTTTACGTTATGTTTGTCGTATTGCTCATTGTTACCATGCATTATATATTTGTAACGAGTATTATAAAGGTTATCGTGCTTATACATGTAACAAAGATTTGATACCAGTGTTGCTGTAACGTTTCTATGTTGAAACAATGGATTCCCCACACGTTTTTTTCTTCTCTTGGGGAGAGAGAGGGAGGGGGTTGGCTGGGGTAAAAGACATTAGTCCGGTGAAGCTTTTGCGCCACGCTCACAGTAACCTGTTGGCAACAAGTGAAATAAAGTTGCCATCACTGTCCGCGTAATTTAGCAAGCATGACATGCATGAAGAGATGCCATGGTTTGTCACGGAATTCAGTGGACAATTTGTTTATTGCGTTAATTAAGATCGTCCAAAATGATGTCCAAATTTTTTTTTGCAGTTGGTGAATTTCATGATTGAGATTGAACCCACTTTAAAAAATTGCCTTTGAACAATTTCAAGTGGGATTTCTTCTCTTTTTTTTTTTTCCCAGCAAAAGGCAATTTTTGTTTCCGTGTTTAACCATAGTAAGGTGTTGATGGTTTGATTTGTTTTAATTTGATGCTTAAATTCAAATCAAATGATTTGTGACTTTTAGACACTAAACCAAATCACAATTCATGATTTGGTTTGATTTTAAATCATTATTTGTGATTTACAAAATAGAATTAATTAAATTCACTATTTTATAAATTTTTGACATAATTTTTCTAAAAATTGATCATCTATTTCTTATTTAACTCAATAAATTAATCATTTATTAATTAATTATAGTAGTTATATATTTTATAGTATAATATATATATATATAAAATATTACAGAATTTCATTCATACTAATGGCAATTACATTTTGAAAAGAAAAATAATTAGTTATTAGAATAAATATAAATATAAAAACTAATAAAAAGAAAAAATATGTAGTTAAATAATAAAATATACTATATATATAAAGATAAGATTTTCAATTATGTACATATATGAACTATACAATTTTAGCTTAGTTTAAGTAATTTGTCTAAAAATGTCAAATATTAAAACCAAAACCGTTAAAAAAAAAAAAAAAATCCCTTTTCAAACTAAATTGAACCAAAACAAACGAGAATATCGTTGGTTAAATGGTTTAGTTTAATATGTTAAAAAGCTCTACACTATAGTAGTTATTCACTTAGGCCTTGTTTGCTTGGCCTGCCTACTTTATCACCCTTTTACATATATTTAGTAACCTTGTAAACAGTCAGCATAAAAAATTCAGGCACCTGCCCTTATCTGGCTTTCTCAGTTGAATCAGATAAAATTATCAAGGTTTAATGGATGTAATAAAATTTATCCAGGGTGATAAAATTTTTTAAGACAACATTGCCCATATTCTTCTCAAGTGGGTAAAATTACTGTACAAATAGGATAAAACTATTCTATCCCCTTTATCTTACTAATGCAACCAAACCACCTCTTAGGGCGTGTTCAGTAGGCTGATGAGGGGTGAAAGATAATTTTTATCCGCGTTTACATGCGTTCAATTGGCATGTACCGAATTCAGATACAGATATGTATCCGTATATTCAGATAACTAATCCGGCCGTTCGCGAGGGGATAAAATTTATCCCCCTGATAAGGCTTTGAAATTCTCCCTAGCAGACAGGAATGCCCCACCCTCCTCTTCACGACTGCGAAGCCAATCTTCCTCCTCCCATCACTTCGCCTACGACCAGCCCACTGCCGAACACTCGACGATGCCCGAACGCTGGGAATGTTGGCATCGCAATTTGAACGCAGATTTCAGCTAGGAGTAGAAAATATGAAGTTGAAAGCTCCGGAAGCCGAGAGTCCGAGTTGCGAACACCGAACGCCCGAAGCCTGAACGCCGACGCCCGAATGCCCGAAGCCTGAACGCCCAACAATGCAGGCCAAATCTGCAACGGAGATGTCGTGGGCGGAGGCAAAGCAGAGGGAGGACCGATTGCTGGGGGTCGACGCAGCCGATGAGGTGAGATGGACGGAGACGGCGGGCTCTATCATGCGACCTATCCATCGGCTCTGTCGTGTGACCTAATCCGGGAGGTGGCTATATCTGTTTTTTCTTTTTTTAAAAAAAAAATTCATATAAGAAATGGTATTTGGTAAATTTAAAATTTTATCTCACTTTTTAAAAATTTTTATCCCATCTATTATCTGTTTAATTAAATTTGTGATAAAATTTATCCCATGATAAATTTATCCTGTTATATCCTTATCACCCTATATCCTATCCCCCATCCGAACGGCCCCTTAAAGTAGAAGTCACGGAAGAAGTAAGGACCAAGTGTGCTGAGGGGGGAATGAGGGAGGTGGCTGAGATAGTGCTGCTGGTTCAAGAAGAAAGAGGAAGAAGAAAGTACGTTGAAAATTTTCCAAATTGAACGTGACGGAAAGACGAAAAGAAAAGAACGAGGAGATCATGGAGAGAAATTTGAGTAAAGTTGCATTTGGGAAGGTTTTTGGTTTAATTTATTATGCCTTTATTCTTTTTGGTACATCAAATGTATGAAGTGTTAAAGTCTTAATTTAGGGAAAGCAAAAGTAAACTTTTTAATTTCAGATAAATCTTACAAGTTTCACACACACACACACACAACACACACACACATATATATATTGTTAAATCAAATGTTCTCGATTATAATTTTAATTCGACACATTTTAGGACACATTTTAACTTTACATCTGGGAATCAACGTTGGTTTGTTGTGATCCAATTCGAGCCATTTAATAGTTAATTTGATCAATAAAAGACCAATGGTTAAGCTGGTCTTTCCCGTAGAATTTAATGGTTCAATTAACTTCAATATTCCCCTTGGAAAAGGTGTCAGATTTTTTTTTTTATGTTCTGTCGTTATTCATTTAAAAATATTGGAAACCCCCCCCCCCCAAAAATATATATAAATATATATAATCACAGAGGAGCACTTCCATTTTTTTATTTTATTTTATATACATTCTGGAAGATCCTTAGTGAAATAATCTTTGTTTTTCTTCCTAGAGAACTCTTAAGTCCAAAGATGTGCCAGAAGAAAACAGAATTTCACAATAAAAATTCAAGCATGGGTTGACCTCCTGTATTACTTTCTGTGATCAGCTGAGAATAATTAATATAAATTTTAGTTGCATCCTCAGTGATTTGAGGAAATTGTTAAATCCGCCACCAAAAGTCAGAGCCATAAAGGACAAGGAGAGGCCAATAACACATTTTTCATTAAATATAGTTATCAAAACAATTGAGTTATACATAATTTACAAACATTATGTAAGAAACTAGTTGGACTACAATTGGACCCGCTGTCTTAGTAAAGAGCAATGATCTTTACCAACGTCACGAGAGCAAATATCTCCCTGTAAGCTGTCCAAAATTATCTATTTGGGTATAAAATTGTCTGTCTTAGTTGGGTGTCAAAAAACAAGGGAAAAAATATATATATGTGTAGGCTCTTAGCCTCTGAACATGAATAACAAAGCTAGCTCATCTCGGCAATCTGGAATTCCATGGAAAGAGAAACTCAATTAGTAAGCTTTAAGAGATAGGGCAAGTAGTCGTAGAAAACTCCTTGCTTTGTTGCCGGCTTTCATAGTATATATAAGAGGTTGCTTTCTGCTTTCGCCTCGGCAATCTGGAATTCCATGGAAAGAGAAACTCAATTAGTAGACCTAAAAGAAGCAGTCCCGACCGCCCCCTGTTGGGGGGGGGGGGTGGTGTGGGTGTGGTGTGGGGTGTGGGCGGTGTTGGTGTTGGTTGGCAGGAGAATTCAATAAGGGAAGCCAATGTTACCTCCAGCATGAATAAATAGGTTACTAAGAACCTTCTCCTTGTAACTTTAAGATCCAACAAGACCCTTGTAGCGAGAATAGAAAATTATAATTGCAAATATGGCAGCTGATAACAGTCCTGCAAAGATGACCACCTGGCAACATCAAGGCATTCAAGTCAAACTGAATAAAGAAACAAATATTTACAATGACTTTGATAACATTTAACAGCTGATAATTCCAGCCATACCCATTTAAACACGTATCCATGATTATCATTCCATGTATACGGAATATTCATGCCAAATATAGCGCCTATCAAAGAATAGATGGACAAGCAAACAGTTCCTGAACTTAAGAAAAGCTCTAGCTGCATCAACAATGAAATAATTATAACGAATCTGTAGAAAATCCCACAGTGCCAGAAAACCAAGACAAACTATTTTCATCATTATCCTGTAAACACAAAATAACCATACCTGAATCAACTGGTTTCGGTGATTGTCCAGCTGCAGAAGGGGAAAATAGGTATTCAGACAGTATATACACAGTATAATACAAATGTCAACCCATTTAATTTAATCAACTAGTTCCAAGTTTACCCACCAATGCCAGCTGATTACCTGAATATTAATATAATCCTCTGTATCATCAATATATTCTCGCAGCTGCAAAATTTTCAAGCACAGATCAAGTCTGATAGTCAATCTAAGGTTTGCATTTGGGTGTGTGTATGCGCTTTCTTGTTTTTTTTTTTTTTTTTTTTTTTTTGTGGGGGGAGGGGGGGGGGGGGGGATGGTTTGCAGCAATAAATAGGTGGCAGTTAGACTGAGTCACTGAAATTGCAGAACCCTAAAAATATTTGATATATACTGACTACATTCTACATGGCGTTTCTCAAAATGAAGTAGATCAAGCTTACGCTCAGAAAGTGAGACCAGTTGGTGAACCATAAAGGTCCAAATTAAGCAACGTGGGTTTGCTATCCAATGAGACTTAACCGCCTTTGGACAGTAATGTCATACTGCTATCATTACAGTAGATTATTTAATGAACACATACTGATAAACTTAGCCTATCAAAATGAACAAGCATGCTTGAATGTTATGTGAGATTTTAGATCGGCATGATGAACATTCCATTATTAATAAATGTTGGCTAAAATATGGTCCCATTTACTGAATCATCTGACATCATCAAATCAACTGACTAGAAGGGGCAGGAGAAAGCAACATTACCGAATAAGTCCATTAAAAGCCAAAACACATCAAAGTTGTAGCCCAATGAAAACAAAAGAAAAATGTGATAAACATGTTCATCGTCTTTATTTGTACTTACCTTGGTCAATCAACTATTAAAACAGATCCTAGATTGCCCTTTGATTATCAATCTTATCCATACAATGCAAGAAAGTTATACAAATTCACCTACATAAATATTCATTTTTTAAATCAAATATCATAATCTATCCCCAGCATTTACACTTCATCTATTAGATTTCCTGACACAGCAGTCTAGTAAAAATTCTGAACTACAACATAAATGCTAACAGAGGTATATTCCCATATAATTAACAACAGAAATCAAAATGAAACTGCCCTGCCTGACGACCAGACACCAACACACCCCCCTCCCCCCAAAAAAAAATAATAATAATAATAATAATCATAAATTAAAATTCCCACCTCCCATAATCCCATTTTGAAAAAACAGCTTAAGGGACTATTAGTCTAATGGACTAGCAATTCCTTGTTTGTTGTTACGAAGGATTGGACAAGAAGGATAAAAAAGTATCCCAGATAAGTTATTCCGCAATTCCACCTCCCCCTTATTAATCGCTTGATATCCAGTCATTGGATCTTAATCAAAAAGTCTCAATGCAAAATTGTCACACTTTATCATAACTTATATCATCTTCAATCTAAACATAATACAATCTACATACTACATATATTTAATCCCTTCTTATCCTATCCCATGATTCCAGTATTCAATCCCATACACTTCAAGTCCTCTACTATTAATACCAACATTTCTAATCCCTCAAAAATTGCAAAAAATTGTGCCCAAAGGGGATACTTAAAGATAGTTCACGTGTAAGAATACTAGATTGGATATGTTGATTCAACATTCCTGAGGGAAACAAGAATAAGAAAACAATGCTGAAAATAGTGCTGCTAATGGGAAGATCAACCCAGAACAGAGTATACAGATGAACAAAATACTACCAACTATATTATATATGACTGAACGGCAAAGCGATATTTCTAAAAGATATCATATGGGAGAAGCATTTTCTTTTCCTCCTCTTTTTGGTTGGGGGTGGAGGAAGGGGTGGAAAGATGCTATCCTTAATTTATGGGCTTCCCTCAACAAATAGCAGCAAAAGAGGGAAAGTAAAACCTCTGAAGTTTATCGCTTGTAGTTATCCATTCTAATATATGTGTAAGCACATCCTTTTCATAAAAATACCTTTTTTACCACAATAATATTGCAACAATTATTCATCAATCATGTTGATTGGTAGGAAGGGATTAAATCAAAATGAATACAGCATACATACTGTAGTCAATTTGTTCAACGTTCCGTCAATTTGCATGAAGTAAGCCTGCAAATATAACACCACTTCATTCAGACATTTAACTTCGAGAGGAGGAAAAAAGGAGGGGAAAAAAAAAAGGCAGAATACCTCAAGCAACATTTCCAGCTCCTCAACATTGTTTTCATCATGAAATGTAGCTGTACTCATCCTACTTGCTCTAGATATCTTGGATCCTATAGTAGGAGATGCAGGAGACCAATTGGTGGCCCCTGAGCCACTTACAGGAGATGCACCAGCCAATTTTCTGGATAAGTAAAGATCAGCCATATCATCATCATCATCCAGTAATTGTTCAAGCTCATCTCTCACCTGCAAAAGACCAATATTTGTGAATAAATATCAAATATCACAAACTTGCGGCCAAAGTAACCTCTCTCAAACACATATCTTATGAATGAATACAATTAAAACAAAACTCGTATATACTATGGATACTAGTCCATATACAGGTTATAATTAAGAAGAAACTTTTATTTTCTTTCTGAAAATTCAAGTGAAAAATAATTTTGGAAAGTCCTCGTGAATTTTACCAAGTCCACCTCTACTAATATATCCACACTTAGTACAAAGTTTACAATTTTGCCACATGTTCAGTTCATCAAAATCCACAAAGTAAAGTTTTAGTTGACCATAAAGAATTAATAAGCTATGTTGGGAGTTGGCCTAACTCATGTCCCATAATTTGACTGGACTTTTTCCATTTCTTTTTTTGGGTGAGATTAAGTTGTGAAAGGAAAGGAATCTTCATCCTTCATCATATCGAGAAAATACATAGAACAAATCTGGTCAACTCCTTTAACTGATATGGAGCTGGTTCTATGATATTCTTTTCCCAATATTGGCATATATTGACAACACAAAGTAAAGTTAGTGCAAAAATGGAAATGTAACAAAAGGATTCTTTTCAAAAAAATATTTTCTGTTCTCTCTGATGAAAAATGGAGAGCTAATTTACCTTTTCTTTCAGATTTTTCTTATTTAGAGTTATATTTGAATATTTTTAAGAGTTTGAATCGCTTTAGGGAGACTAAGTTACTTTGGAAATGGATTTATTTAGAAAGTTTTAATTAATTGCAAGTCTAAGAAAGCTTTAACAATTTTGGAATTTTAGATTAAGGAAAGAGCATAAGTTTAGTATTTGATGCTAGCACTATATATTTCGATTCTGATGTAATGAACCCAGATTGGAGTGGTTTTTTACAACCAGAGGCTTGGTTGCCATGGTGTTTCAGCAATCTCTTCTTGGTCCTGCATCACCCTTTCTACAAGAACACTCAGTAACCAACAAAACAGAAGATCACTTAAAAATTTTCTAAATTTTCCTGGAAAAACTGAGGGAACCATATAGAATCATAGCCTATGCAGCCAAATGCAATTTTTTTTGTGCAAACCAGATTCTGGAAGTTACATTCAAGTTAGTTCACACATGGATTGGATGGCCTTACTGTTCATTAACCAACAAAACTCAACAAATAATACATCCATATGTAGTGATAACTTCACCAATTGCAGACCTAGAGCTATGCAGTCACCTAGAGTTACGCAGTCCTGCAAGGTAGTGCTCTCCCTACATATTTACGCATAAATCATGCGCCTGTACGCCTACAAGAGTGGCTTCTTCTACATGGTTAATTGTTCATTCTCTGTAACTTAAATATCCTGGTCTCCTTAGAATTTTGTGCATTGCAGAGAGAGCACTCAGACTCCTGGATATCTTAGAAAACAAAGGACTATGTCCGAACATATAAAAAGAAGTTAACATACCTTTTGAACCCGAGCTGTCAACCGTGTCATTGAACTCTTCAATTTACGAACCCGATCTAGGTTACGACTACTAATCTGTAAATCAAAGTTGTCATGTGTAAAACAGAGATATACATAAAAGAAATGAAGGCACACGAAAAGAGAAAAACAAAAGCATCTGAGCAAAACAACCACAAGCATATATTCTTGACTGAACCCAGCAAGAATTAATCACAAATTCACTTTTTTTAGGGAGCTGGAGGAAGGATTCATATGCTTAATTGACTACATGCAAAATTTGTGGTGCATTTACCTTATGTTTATAGTAAACTTTGAGCTTGAAACAATAAGTGTTCAGCAGTCCCAGGTAAGAGAATCATGAACTCAAACCATGCTTGCTGAAAGTAAACAAAAGCATACCTTGGAAGTGAGTTCATCCAAAGCAGGATAAGCAGCAGTCTCCAGTTCTGTTGTTTGTGCAGCAAGATAACTACAAATGGCTTCCAAAGCCACCTCCAGAGCTGGAATTCAAACGGAGATTCTGTTTAACACACTATAACATCAAATATAGCCAGAGAAAAGAATGAGAAAACTGATTCAGAAAATATAGAAAATTGAACAAACAGTTAAGTATTATACATAGAAAATGAATCATAAAGAGAACACTTAAACTGGAACTTCACTTAGAGAAAAATAAGCAATTAAGAGAGAACCAAAACAGGAACCTTTTTTTTGTTATCTTATTTGTCTTTCCCTTTAAACTAATAGATTGTTAATCCAATAGGAAATACCATCTTCTTCACCAGTATCAATATCCTGTTGCCCAGCTATCTCCTTTCCATCACTTTGACCTTCAAGATTAGAGTTCGCAGGAGGCAATCGCCTCCGTAGTTCCTCAACAACAGGCACAACATTATCATCCATTGGATCTCGGAGCAACACCTGTTCAAAACACAAATTTGGCTTATTCAGAACCAATATGTGCAAATCAAAAGCTCTTCCCTTCAGTTAAGCAAGAAATATCAGATACAGGAAATTTAGCATTCTTCCAAGGGTCTAATCAATAGCAATGCACCTCTGGGGAATGGAACAAACACTGCACCACACATAGATTTAATAGCATCATAGTTATGCTTGACTAATTGCAAAACCCAATCATGGAGAGAAGGAAAACTAGGGGAAAAAAAACTGCATTCCCGCTTGATGTTGAAAGCAAATTACTTGACTGGATGCCTATCTGGTAGATAACTGAAAAAGTCGGAGAGCCCGAAGTTCAAGCATGAATGGTATAGGCTTAATTACTGTATCACCAAATTACCTGACTCAATGCTTATCCGGTAGATAACTAAAAAAGTCAAAAACCCAAGTCAAAGGATGAATGGTACAGACTTAATTAATGTATCACCCTTCACAACATAGAGTTGTTGTAAAACAAGAATAAAAAAACTGCATTCCTGCTTGACATTGAGAAGCAAATTACTTCACTGCGTGCCTATCCCGTAGATAACTAAAAAGTTAAGAAAGCCCCAAGTCAAAGCTTGAATGGTACAGACTTGATTAGTGTATCACCATTCACAACATACAGTTGTTGAAAAGCAACAATAAGAAAACTTCATTCCTGCTTGACGTTGAGAGCAAATTACTTGACTGCATGCCTATCCTGTAGAAAGCTAAAAAAGTCAAAGAGCCCCAAGTCAAAGCATGAATGATACAGACTTAATTGGTGCATCACCCTTCACGACATATAGCTGTTGGAAAACAAGAATAAAAAAAAACTGCATTCCTGCTTGACGTTGAGAGCAAATTACTTGACTGCATGCCAATCCAGTAGATAACTAATAAAGTCAAAAAGCCCCAGTTCAAAGCATGAACGGTACAGACTTAATTACTGCATCACCCTTCACAACATATAGCTGTTCGAAAACAAGAATAAAAAAAGGCATTTCTGCTTGACGTTGAGAGCAAATTACTTGACTGCATGCCTATCCTGACCTGTAGATAAATAAAAAGTCAAAGAGCCCCAACTCAAAGCATGAATGGTACAGACTTAATTACTATATCACCCTTAACAAAATATAATTGTTGACTTCTCGCATAGCTAGCTGACCATTAATTCTCCCAGAAAAGAAAGTCTTGATAGAAAACCAAAAGGACAAAATAACTGAAATTGGAAGCAAACGTCTATTCGATAGTCAGCACTGGTAACTAAGACCTATAATTGACTTTTACTTCCTTACTACACATAATCCATATGTTCAGTTGACTGCAACCACTGACTTACTCGTTACTCTGATTAGTTCCTAGTAAAATCCTCACATAGATGCGTTTATATTTGTTCTGTTCCTCAATTACAAGACTTTTACTTAGCTCATACCGACCTCAACCAACTAAACCTTCAACTTTAGATGGATTCCATTAACCAACAAAAGTTCAATTAACTGTCAGAATCGGAAACAAAATTCGAATGACGACGGTCTTACTTTACCTCTTTGGCAGTAATAATCGCCTTAATATGCTGCCCAGCAAAAAGATAAAAACAAGGAAACAATATCAGTGAAATAATAACCACATAAATGATGCTGCATATCACACGCATAAATAGTTAAATTTCAATTTCACCTCCAAATTGAGAACAATGGCCTTCTCACGGCCGAGTATTGTGGAAGGATACGACAGGAGGGGATCGAGGATGCGAAGATCGCGAGCATGAATTTGGGCTCAGTGCATTATGGCGTACTTGTCGGCGTCCAACACGGAGCTCTGCCCCGTTGCGTCCATCAGGATCCAGCAACGCGAACCTGCCGCCCTCTTCTTCACTATCCCTTGCGGATCAGCTGGCACGATGCTCCCGTCTCGGCCCATTTCAAATAATTCCCACGATAAACCAACCAATCAGCAAGATATATTTCTGTACGTGCTACGTTGCTTCCGCATGTCCATGCAGGGCACTGAGACCCTAATTAGAGATTCGCATGGCCACCAATTAGGGTTCTTAAGAAAGAAGTTCGCAAATGAATCACATGGTGAGAGGCAGAGGCAGCAGTTTATGGATACAGAGGAAGAGACAAACTGGACGATTCTGCTCCCTGCTCTTCCTTGCGCAGCGACATCTGCTGCCTAATTTCGCCGACTTCTCGGGAATTTTTGTTCAATGTCCGACTTCTTTTTGTTCTCTTTTTAGAAAGAACGTTAAATTATTTTTTTCTTAATTCGGTTGAGTTTGAAACAAGAGGAAGAAAATTCAGAAATGATTACTTAAATTTGACCAGTGAATCTAAAATTCGAAATGGTAGCAAAATATTGCATTTTTAAATTAATGTAAATATTTATTACGGGCTTTTATTTAATTAAAAGTTAGTACTCCATGGCATTCTTATTTTAAAAAAAGTACTTTTATAATTTTACTACACTTAAATAACAGTTGATGACAATTTTATTAAAGAAAAGCCTGGGAGTAATGTACTTTCAGTTACTTCAACCACGTATTTGATTAAAAATTAAAATTATATATAACTTATTTTAGAAATTATTTTTAAAAAAATTTTGATATTTACTTTTTAATTTAAAAATTTTTCAAACTTAAAAAATTTAACTTTTAATAGTTTAATTTTAGTACTTTTAATTATTTTAAATTTTTATGTTTGAACTTTTTAGTTTTATCTGGAATATGAAAATAAGAATAGGAAAAAGTTAAATAAAACTAAAAAAGTCCAACAATAAAAATTTAAATAAAATAAAATAATATTATCAAAAGTTGAATTTTTTGAGTTTTTTTTTAGATTTTTAATTTAAAAATTAAAATCAAAATTACAAAATAATTTTTTAAGTAAATCAAATAATACTTTAATTTTAATTAGATAAATCATATAAACAAGTTAAATTAAGTTACTCTTGTTTTTTTAAACAAAAATATTAGATAATCATTAATCAATATTAGTTAGGGAAAAAAGTACTATTTTCTAATAGGAATAGAATTGAGTATCAAAATAAATTTTTTTTGATCATATAATTTATTATTATGTTATATATATATATATAATATATGTGTGTGTGTGTGTGAAAATTTAATGTGTTAACATCCATCCTGCCATTAGTCATCATTAAAGAACTTCCTATAGAGCATAAATTAATAGGTCAAAATTTGTCTCCTACAAAATGCTTGATACGTTCAAGATGGAAGCCTACGAAGGTGGTGATTTTTCTTATTATGAAATAATATATATTTTTTTTGATTATTTTTAATTTATAATTATGTAAATACAAGAAAATATGTTTTTGATCTATTATCCTATTTAAGTACTTTTAAATTTAAAAAAAAAAAAAGAGGGGGAGGGGGAGAAGAAATCATGGTCTAAGAGGAGAATTAGATCACCTTTTTCCCTACTCAGTCCTCACTGATAGTTCAGTTCTTTCTTGAATTTGATTCTGTTTAATTGTTTCATTTTAAATCTGAATTCAATTAGTCATTTTTTATTCAAATTTAATCTAATCTTATAAAATTTTTGTTTGTTAAATTATATTTAAATCCATAAATAATCAAAAACTAATCTGATAAGAAAATAATACTTTTGTACTAAACTCTCTCAACTCTATTTTATCAATCATATTGGTCTCTAAATTTTCTATTTTTAATTTTTTAATTTTATTTTTACACATCTGAATTTATTAATATTACTTATATAAGATCATTAGTTTAACCAAAAAATATTATTAAAATTCAAATTTAGATTTTTAACGGATCGGATTAATTAATTTCATATTCGACTACTTATTTTAAATTATTAATATTTATAATTAGATTTAACCTATCAAATATTTTTATTGAATTCAAATTCTAAAATCTATATCAAGTTTAAAATGAATTCAAATTAAAATTCAATTCATTAATAATTTTATCTACAAGATAGGCTGCTGAAAGATAGAAATAATTCATAACTTAGACTAGAAAAATAGACATCATAGTTTTATAAGTTAGTATTATAACCTTAGGACTTGTATGTTTTAACCTTTGACTGGGTATATAATTTCCAATTTGGATGGAACTGTTAGTTGATAGGCAAAAAGAGGTCGGCTTCTTTGTTGTGTTGTATTTTTTTTGATTTTCTATGTCTATTTCTGGGCATATGCTGGGAAAATAGCCAACTTAATGACTTCCCCGTGGCCGGCTCAAAATAACCATTGCCAATATAAGACTCATTTTCAACGTCAAACGAACAAAGGGAACGATTTCAAGTAAGAGTTTCACGAGATCGAATTAAATTGATTAAATCAAATAATTGAAATCAATTCGTGATCTAATTCAATTTTATATAAGTTATGATTTGATTAAGTTTAAGTTAAATTTTTTTCTCACAGTTCAATTTTAAATTTAACCATAAAATTGAATTGCATAAACTAAATTGAGCCATGAAATATGTTTGACTTTGCAATTTAATCCTTTAAATTTCTTATTATTTTGTTTTAGTCCTTCCACTTTTTTCCTATCATTTCAATCCCCAGTTTCCTTTCCTTTATCTTTTTTTTTTTTTTTATGGCCCCCAAACTTCTAATTATTTCAAATAACCATCTAATTTTGTTATTACATATCATGTCAATATTTAATTTATTGAAATTAATAAATTTTCTTGATGGTCATTTTTTTAATTATTAAATTTAATTAATTTTGTTACAAATCTACAATTACATAGGGATAAAGAGTTTGGTAGAAAGTTTAATAAATTTAATTTACAAATTGTGATTTCAAACCGAACAAAACTATGAACTGTAGTTTAGTTTAATTTGACACTTGAGAGTTCATAATTTAGTTTGATTTTACAAAAATATAAATCATGAGGTATGCTTTATTTTGAAATTGACCCTTAAAGTAAAGCAAACCAAACCACGAACACCCCTAGGTTCAGGCCACAATTATGGTAAAAAGTCACAATATTTTATGTGTGTTTGAATTAATTTGTGCAGAATTTCTTTATGATATAAAACTTAAACAAAAATATGTTATATTTCATTATTCCATATACCAAAACCTTGTCTATTAAAGTTTAATTCGGTTAATGTTTACTTTTGAAAAAAAAGTTACAATACCCTCCTATATTTTAATTAGCTTATACAAAATCACATCTTAATATAAGAATTAAAATAAAATATATTGTTATTCAATATTCCTCCACTAGTTTTATGTAAAATATTTGTAATTTTACTTTTTTATGATTTAGTTAAAAATTAAAAATAATTCTTTGATTAAAAATATTAATTTTTCATCATTCATTCTTTTTTAAAATAAACTCAATTTTTTAATATTGAGAGTTGAATGTCTCTAATTATTTTTTTTTACCCCTCTTTTCATTCTTTCTTTTTATTAAGTATATTTTATCTTTTTTAATAATTTTTTTATAATGATCACTTATTTCATTAAAATAATCAAAATAAAATTAAGAATTCTAAACTTTTTTAAAAGAAATAAAATAAAAGATAAAAAATAAACAAATTTTAATACACTTTATTTATTTTGATTCCAAAATCTTCCATGCTTTTATATGTTAAACTCTATCTTTTATATTCTTTTAATTAAATTGTTAATTCAGCTATTATAATTTAACACTATTAGTTGTAAGAAAAAAAAAAAGACAAATTTTCAAAAAATCTTAAAATAGAAAGGAGTTTGGCTCGATTTCATGTCATGGAGAAATTTTATGCACCCCATAGAAAAGGAAGGTTTTATGGCTATAACCCCCACAATCAGCTGCCCACAAAACCTACAAATTCATTCCCAATATCACCACAAACCAATTCCGGGGCCAACTTAAACTGACCATACCCAAAATACCACCCGTTCTCAACATCAAACTTTACCAAACAAGATAAAGGAATGAGTTTGAGGCCACAATCAACTACCTTCAAAACCAGTCCCTTCCTAGTGTCACCACAAATCACTTATGGGTCACTTTTGTACAAATAAGCTCGAAAAGCTAGGCAACTGGCAGCTTATACCAAGTTCACCTCTAGAATTGAAGGATGCACTACTTAAGTGCACAAAGAGCTAAGTTTTCAAGGACGTAGCTTAGCGGTAGTTGCAATCTTAAAAGTCACTCTAATTTTTTTTCTGCAAATTGGAACAAGTATCGTGGGAGTGGCTGGAGGTTTGCACTTACCTTAACAGTGGAAGATGTTAGGTAATTAACGAGCCTGATAAAGTAAAAACCGCGGCTAATAATAAGATGAAATAACAAAATAGAGACACAAAAATTTACGTGAAAAACTTTCAAATAAATTTAAGGTAAAAATCACGGGCATGAATAGAAAAATTTCACTATGAAGAAAAATAGGAGTTACAACTTCTCTTTATTTAAGGAGATAAATAATACTAATCTCTCTTAAAATAGGAGAAAAAACAAAAGCTCTCTAACTTTTTCTCTCTATACTATTTTTCTCAGTGGCTTTCGGATGCCTTGGGGGATGGATTGAGAAGTTTGGGGGGAGGCCTATTTATAAGTCTCACCCCCCCTTTCGTACACGGTATCAAAACCACGTTTTGTCTCTCTTTCTTCTTTTTAAATTAGTTGAAGCATTGTGCAAAATACAGCTCGTGTACCGCAATGTCCCGCTAATGGAATTGGACCTACATGCCGCAACCTCCCTTTAAACAAACAAAAGAAGATGGAAAGTAAATAGGGCTGGACCCCACAATCTCCCACTTGAAGATTTGATTGAATATCAATCATATTTTCACACCATTCTTTCTATCCGACCATTTCTATGTTACTTACGTCTCTGTCAGGCCACAAGAGGATCGACACCAAACAAACTTGTTTGTATTGACTGCTTTTGTTATAAAGTCTGCTAGGTTATCTTTTGTATGAATTTTC